TATTATCATCAAAGATATTAAAAAAAAATCAGTTAGAGGAAAAGGAAAATAGAGGGAAATATCAGATGGCATTTAGAGGTTTTTGCATCTAAATTCTTCTATATATTAAATCATTTATTTAATATATAGTATATATTATATACCATATTAATATTTATTATAGTATATATTCATATTATAGTATATAACATTTTATATTACTGTATTTAATATTTATTATAATATATATTATACTATATTCATATTATTAATAAATTTGTTGTTGTTTTTGTTTTGTGATGTCCTTTTTTCAAAATCCTTCTTTTCAGTCTATAAAGATAAGATAAAATCAACATTAAAACACTGTTTTCTTCAATCCAGTAGAAGTATTTACCATCAGTGTGTCCCTCAAAATGTGAACATAAAGCATAAGAAAATGAATGTCTGTTCCTATATGCGTCTTGCCATCACATTCTATCAGCACACACATTTCACACTGCACATTTGGCATTACAATGCAGGATTACCACGTGAATAAAAAAGCAGGTTGCTTAAGCCTGGATTTTAAAAATGTGTGAATGTGTGAAATGTTCCTTTTCACAAGCTTAAAAGCAGGGTTAAGGATGATGAAAACCTGTTATTAGGGATTTATGTTTCATTTTGGTGAACTGCTGCTTAGTTTGTATGATTTAATATACCAAGCATATGATAATGTGTGAGATTATATGAAAATGTAGAAATTAGTTAGGTAGATTGCAAAACCTGCAGTAATGTAATGTCTACCAGTTAACCAAAATGAAATCAGGTCAATATATTTGACATACAGCATGCTCAAAATGTGTTGGTACTGCATGTATGCTTTCGAGTAGCAAATGTAATTTTCCTTTGTAAAACATAAAAATATATTATATAATATGTTTATATAAACTCCAAATTCTCTCGCTTGTCAAAACGCAGTTCTAAAAAAACAGAACATTCTTGTCACCACAGTAACCATCCTCTGTAGTAAGGTTCTGTCCATCCGTCTTTTGTGTAAATCACAATAAGAGTCATGGTTTCAAATCGATAGCTATTTTCAGCCTGAATGCCAAGCATCTGATTCCTCCCAAATGGATTGCTACCTGTATGTTTGCAGTGTAAAAATTAATTCATCCTGCATCCATCCACAAAAATGGAGGTTGTTTGCATGGTGTGTCTGATTGGACTGTCGACCACATTTGTCAGGGTGAAGGTCAAGAGCTGTATTTAATCATGGCTGTGAATGTTACTTTGTGTTTCAAGGCTTTTAACTTAACTTCAAAACTGGCTACAAACTTAAAGGTGTATATTAGCTGTAAAACCTTTTTGAGGTTGGTGGAAAAACTTCTAAACTGTGGGTAGGAGGTCATACTCTTGTACACTTCAGGTTGTGCAATTATCTGCCTCTCTGAATGCTCTGCTTCATTTATTTCATTCATTTTCTTGTCGGCTTAGTCCCTTTATTAATCCTGGGTCACCACAGCGGAATGAACCACAAACCTATCCAACATGTTTTTATGCAGCGGATGCCCTTTAAGTCGCAACCCTTTTCTCTGGGAAACATCCACACACATACACACACACACACACTCATACACTATGGACAGTTTAGCATACCCAATTTACCAGTACCGCATGTCTTTGGACTGTGGTTGAAACCGGAGCACCCGGAGGAAACCCAAGTGAACGCAGGGAGAACATGCAAACTCCACACAGAAACGTCAACTGAGCAGAGGTTCCGAACCAAGCGACCCAGTGACCTTATTGCTATGAGGCGACAACACTACCTTTTAAAACTTATCTGTTCTTTAGTTAAGCTTTTAATTTATTCTTTTGTAGTTTGTTATTGTTGTTGTTGACAGCACTACCAACTGCGTCACTGCATCGCCTTATTTATTTATGTGTATATTTATTTATTTATTTATTTGTTTATTTATCAGTTTTTTATGTATTTAATTATTTATTTTCTATTTGTTTATTTATTTAGCTATTTATTTATCTGTATATTTATTTATTAATTTATCTGCTTCTTTGTTCATTTATGTATGTATTTCTTTATCTGTATATGCATTTATTCATTTATTTATGTATTTTTAATCTCTTTGTTTACTTATTTATTTATTTATTTATTTATTTATTTATCAGTTTTTAATGTATTTAATTATTTATTTTTTATTTGTTTATTTATTTAGCTATTTATTTATCTGTATATTTATTTATTAATTTATCTGTTTCTTTGTTCATTTATGTATGTATTTCTTTATCTGTGTATGCATTTATTCATTTATTTATGTATTTTTAATCTCTTTGTTTACTTATTTATTTATTTATTTATTAGTATTGTAGTAATTATTATTATAATTATTATTGTTGTGGTTGTTGTTTTTATTATCATCATCATCATCATCATTATTAATATTTTTATTATTCTTTTTATTATTATTATTTTACTTTTTAGTTATAGTGATTATGTTTTGACCTAATTAACTTACAAAAAAAATGGTTTAATTTTCACAGAAATTTCATTTCAAATGAATAACATACAGGAGAGCAAGAATGAAAATTATACACTTTATTCAACTAAATTGCTCTTTCGACCTCTGAGTTCAGCTCACCTCTCATTATTTCTTTGAACCGCAGCTCAGATTTAAAGTGATTTGTTCAAGAGCACTGTAGCTATATTTTTGCATCAAAAAAGCATCAAAAAAACATACTTAACCCAGACTACACAGACCAGCAAAATGTCAAATCTTTAGACCGGTTATATTACTACATACTCTACATTGAACTGTTTAGTTTTTTACTGCATCTGCTTTTATACTATTAACATAACACTGATGATTAAATATACTGTGATTGAAAGTATAAATTCCAGCAGACCAATAGCAACCAATGGCAATGATCCACAAATTAGACACTCCATAAAATGCGGAAATAACAAGTATACAAAGTAGCATTTTAAGTTCAGTGTGAAACCTCTGCATATGAATAATTAGGGCTATTTTTATAACCTCTGGTAATCAAATGACACATTTAAAATCCAGAGTGTTAACCTGTCAATAAATAGTAAATTCTCAGTAAATACAGCAACGCACATGAGAAGTCCATTCTGTGAGCGTATACCATGGAGACACGCAAAACTGACAAGCTGAAAAAAAAACTCCAGATTTAACAAAAAATCAGCAATTGTATTTGTTTAACAGCCTTTTGGGATCTGAATGTAGACATTAATTACAGCAGAGAATGAGGATTTGAGTATATATTCTATTGTGTCTGTTCCTAATATTCATTCATTTTCTTTTGGCTCAGTCACTTTATTTCCGGAGGAAACCTAAGCCAACATGGGGAGACATTTCACACAAAAATGCCTGTTTATAACATTAAACCATCATATTATTTCAAAAGACTTGTAGTAGTCATATGGAATATAACAATAATATTAAAATATATTATAATTATTTTGAATGGAAAAAAACTAAATCAATAAATGAAAAAAAGCATTGACTGAGCATATTAGAAATACTCACAATTTTCTTTTTGTTTTACCCCTTGCTTAAATGGATAAATCAAGCCCAAAAATTAAAATTTTTGTCATAATTTACTATTCCCAACCTTGACTTATGCTGTGTTGAAAATAGAATTAAACAAGTTACTTCATTTCACAGTATTTTTTGTAAGATGTATGTCAATGGTAACCAGCTAGCAACATTCTTTAAAAATAAAAAATAAAATAAAATAAAAATAATAATAATAATAATTTATACAGTTGAAGTCAGTCAGAATTATTAGCCCCCTTCGATTTTTTTTCTTCTTTTTAAAATATTTTCCAAATGATGTTTAACAGAGCAAGGACATTTTCACACTATGTCTGATAATATTTTTTTCTTCTGAAGAAAGTCTTATTTGTTTTATTTCAGCTAAAATAAAAGCAGTTTTGAATTTTTTTTATGAACCATTTTAGGGACAAAATTATTAGCCCCTTTAAGCTATATTTTTTCTCGATAATCTGCAGAGCAAACCACTGTTATACAATAACTTGCCTAATTCCCCTAACCTGCCTAGTTAACTTAATTAACCCAGTTAAGCCTTTAAATGTCACTTTAAGCTGTATAGAAGTGTCTTGTAATATATCTAGTGAAAAAAAATATTTACAGACATCATGGTAAAGATAAAATAAATTGATTATTAGAAATGGGTTATTAAAATTATTATGTTTAGAAATGTGTTGAAAAAGATCTTCTCTCGGTTAAACAGAAATTGGGGAAAAATTAACAAGCATTCTAATAATTTAGGGGGGCTAATAATTCTGACTTCAACTGTGTGTATATATATATATATATATATATATATATATATATATATATATATAAGGAAGTGTAAATCTGATTGTCAATGATAAAATATACATCTGACATTGCCATAAGGAATCCATGCTATGATTGTAGTGCTTTGACATAAATACATGGCAGCTGGAACAATACAACGTCTACAGATGAAACCATAATTGGTTTGAAAAGCCTTTCAATTACAAGCTATATATTATGTATTTTCAAGTTGACTTGACCACATTCAAGCTCCACAAACCAATATGATTTGATATCAGTCTTTTTGAATTTATGTATGCAGCCACTAGTAACATCAGAAAACGATGGATTGCATTTTATGAAAGTTGAAGTGTCTGTTCTTCACTAAAGCCATCACGTTATTTCAGGAGACTATAGTGCATGAGTCATGTGAAATACTGTGTAGGGCTTATTTTGTTCTCTGTGAAGCTGATGTAGGTAGTAGGCTTTTTAGTGTTTATTAATATCTTGTTCGTTTTTTTTAGGAATATATATCTAACAAGGTCAAGGATATATATGTCATAACGTTTTTGAATTTTGTGGAAAATATACCAAATTAGTGAAACGTGAAAACAATTCACTACTTAGCTATACTGTACCTTACTTCGGGTTCATCGATAGTGTGAACAATCTCTGGAGATTTTTTTTTTCTTTAACTCACCCCAATGAAAAGTCTTGGTCTCACGCACATCACCCTGCCTCAGCAGTAGAGAGCACGCACTCACTCAGGTCCGGTAGCGCAAAGATAAACAAGCGCGCGCGAGTCCACTGATTGAGAAACTGCACATCCACGAGGAGGGATAACAACTAAACCATATCTCCGTTTCATAAGGTGAGGCATATCTTTCGTTTTATTCCTCAGAGTCAGTTCATTCATGCATTTTCCATGCTATAGCCTGTGATTGAACATAACTGACTGTTAGTCAAACTTTCCAGCAAAGCGAAATCAATTTATGATAAATATGATATCAGTAGCATATTTTATTAAGACGATGTAGCCTAATATACTAATCAAGGCATGCATTTACGTGATGCCTACTTTGTCATTACAACAATGATGAGCTATGACGAAATTAGTATACAAATTGAATTGGCGAATAATTTGAGTTTGAAGTTAAATGGGTTCAGTGCTTTTAGCTTAAGAACAGTAAACCTACACATCACGTAGTCTACATTTTTGTAAATGAAAGGAAATCGCATTTCTGTTATTGAGATTATTATAAGCGATCATTTTTTGCTCCTCACTTTGAGTCCCTCTGTCATTTCTTTCAGATTAACCATTTGCGGACCGACATAACCTGTCATTTTATTACACATGAAATAACCATTTGATTTGTTTGAATATTGTCATTAATTTTAATTAAGTAATTTATTTATTTAATTTGCTTTTAAGAAATACTGTCTTTTAGTCAACTTCACGTGTTTGCATATAGCCTACAGTATGTATTGTATACAGTATGTACAGTGTGCACTGTATGCATGTATGTACAGTGGTGGACAAAATTATTATTTTATTATTATTATTATAACCCTATTTTCACAAGCTATTTAAAATCAGTTCTAACTATCTTTTGTTGTAGTCAGTATTTATACATTACTTGTAATTGCTTTTTTCATTACATGTAATAGTTATTAAATTTTAGGCTAATAGTTTACATTAATTGTAATAATACAGAAAAAATATTGACTTGTTCAGAGTCTGACAGCAGTCAGTGCCTCACCCAGATATCTGATCTCTGTACAGCTGTTTTGTTCATTCATTCATTCATTCATTCATTCATTCATTAATTCATTCATTCATTCATTCATTCATTCATTCATTCATTCATTCATTCATTCATTCATTCATTCATTCATTCATTTATTCATTCATTATTTTTGTATACCCTGTATAGCACAATTATTCAGTGCTCTGTACCCTGTAAGTTTCTGTGTGTGGTTGTAGCACTACTGGTGCAATGTTTAAGAAATTGTGCAATTTCTGGAATGTAACATATATACAGTATATGGATATGTGGATTTCTACCTGGATTTGCAATATGCTTCGATGCAATCCTTTGATGTGATAAAACGTGTGACGTCTAGAGAAATTTATCATCGCTATTTTTATTCCTGAAAAAAGATAAGCAGACCTCTTTAAGCAACGCCTTCATGTATGCATCAGTAGAAATAATTTAAAGCTCATCACTTATTCTTAGAAGATATGGCATTAAGAGGATAATTCAACCAAAAATGAAAATGTAATTACTACAGTATATACTCTCCCTCAGGTAGTTTCTTTCTTCTTTTGAACCAAAAAAAAAAAGATATTTTGGAAAAGGTGAAAACCTGTAATCATAGCATAGTTTGAAAAAACAAATATTATGGAAGTCAGCAGTTCTTCAAAATATCTTCTTTTGTGTTCAACAGAAGACACTAAAACAGGTTTGGAACAAGTAAAGGCTGAGTAAATGATGAGAGAAGTTTCAATTTTGTGCGAAACAGCAACCCCTTTAAAATGTTTTGTTTCTGTTCATCTGAATCTGTATACTACACATCTCAATCTTTGCTGGGGGAAGTTGTTAAAACTTACAACTACAACAAAGTGATTTACTCACTGCTTTCCATCACCTGATTCACAACAAATACCTGGAATGAAAATGAATGTGTTCAACTAGACAAAGGATGTCTTTGAAAAGGTCTTTTCTGACAGATCGATCAATTTCTTCTCATTCGATCAATTTCATTTGCCTTTAAAGTGAAAACAAAACTAGTTTGAAAGCGAGAGTTGTTGCATGAACAATGCATGCTGACATATAATTGATCAATGGCCTTGTGTTTCTTTGGTGGTGTTAGTTAATTGTAAAGCTGATGAGCTGGAAGGAAAAAGCATTGCTCTAGAAAATACTTCAATTGTGCCAAAAACAACTTTGCCAGAACTGTATTCAGAGCTGAGGTTCTCATAGCAAATTCTGGTGATCCACCACTGTGTACATTTTGTATGTCTTGTTTTATTTTATACACACTGTGCATTTCATACATCGCTGCTAATGAGCTGATGATCTGAATCAGGTTTGTTAAATAAAAAAAGGAATATGCAAAGTGGTGTCCCTAAATGGATTTGAGAAACACTATAGAGGATTAAAATCCTTTTGGAATCAGAATTAACAAAGTGCATTAGCATGCATTACTTTTTTCTAAATTAATCAAAGTTAAGCCACAAGAGGAATGTTTTGTTTGTTGTTTTGTTTTGTTTTTTAGATAAATGTTTGGCCTTTTACTGTGATAGAACAGTAATCAGACAGAAAGTGATGTTGGACATACAGAGAGATCCATGACCTGCCTTAAACTCACAGAATATATGTTTCGGCACTGTTGGTGCATAATCCTTGACCCTATTGGTGCAGACATGGTTTGGTAATCTTTAATCAGAATTGCTTCTGCCATGCATTCAGTCTCTGATAACATTAGTTTCTTGGGTAGAGTATCATTAACCACTCCTTTAATAATGTTATTTTACTGTAGGGTCAGCGCTAGGGAATACCTAATGAGGGGGTCGCGATGTGTCACTAGGGGGCTGCCTTTGGGTGTGGGGTTGGGGGGTAAATGTTACTTCATCAGAAGCACAAAAATAAATAGCTCAAGCATCTCACTAAATTTACAGCATTCATTCTTAAGTTTTTATTTTCATTTTCTCCTATTACATATATATGCATGTGTTCAGATTACCTGAGGGTGTGGCTGTGTGCTCTCATGTCTATTGTTTGACCACAGGAATGCCTCTACTTCGCTAAAGCTAAAATATTTGTACAATCATACCTGATGCTATTGAGCACATAAAGCACATTGCAAAAGCAATAACTTTAAGCAGCATTTCTGTTTTTAAGCAACAAGAGGAGGGCACAGTGGTACTGAGTTCTTGTGGTTTAAATTGAGTTAGGGGAGGGGGTGCTTACCTGATCTGGCTTAGGTGGTCAGGCTGGCCAACTGCTTTTGCACACCACTGTATATTGTTATATAATAAAGTTAGATATACCCGAAAAATAAATTCTATACTGTAGAGATACATATGTGACAGCGCATTCCACAAAAACTCAATAACTATCAATTTTTAAAAATAAAAAAAAAAATCATCATCAAAACCTGTCAGAGTTTCTGCCATTTCAACAGGATTTTACATCTTGGTTTTTTTTTTTGGTTTTGAGACCTTGGAAAATGTCTTGATTTTTACTGTGAGATGTCAACATGTCTGGAACAATCAATGTATGTGTGTTCATGTGTTTATATTGATATTTAAATTGATTGAAATTATTTAATTGAAAAGGTACTATATTGTGATATGGCGTCATGGTGGCACAGTGGGTAGCATGATCACCTCACAGCAAGAAGGTCATAGGTTCAAGCCCCAGCTGGGTCAGTTGACATTTTGTTGTGGAGTTTGCATGTTCTCCATGTCCATGTGGGTTTCCTTCAGTTTCCTCCACAGTCTGAAGACACATAGGTGAATTGGGTAAGCTAAATTGTCCATAGTGTATGTGTGTGAATGAGCGTGTATGGGTGTTTCCCAGTGATGGGTTGCAGTTAGAAGGGCATCTGCTGTGTAAAACATATGCTAGATAAGTTGGCGGTTCATTCAGCTGTGACGACACCTGATAAATAATGCCGAAAAAGAAAATTAATTAATGAATATATATATTATTTGCTCAACAGTCTCACACACAATAAACTAACAGTATGATTTACAGCCTGGACAAGTGAATTATGTAGTCCCTGGGGATATTTTGCATAGAAATCCCGAAATTTACAATAGGCACAAACTGAGCAAAAAAAATATGATTGAAAAGTAAAATGCTACATGTATATAGGACACTAATTTCACCAGCGTCACACAATAAATTAACTACTATAGTCAACCAATTTCTTCAGTTCGGATCCAAATCCAACCGAAGAAGGTAATTAAATGTGTTGCTTAGAAATGCACAAAGGAAAATTACTTAGCTTTGGAGATATATATATGTGTATATATGGAGATATATATATAGCATGGAGATATATATATATATGTGTATATATATGGGTGACGCAGTGGTGCAGTAGGAAGTGCTGTTGCCTCACAGCAAGAAGGTCGCTGATTCGAGCCTTGGCTAGTTGGTGTTTCTGTGTGAAGTTTGCATGTTCTCCCTGCATTCGCGTGGGTTTCCTCCGGGTGCTCAGGTTTACCCCACAGTCCATGCAGTACAGGTGAATTGGATTGGCTAAATTGTCCGTAGTGTATGAGCGTGAATGCGTGTGTGTGTGGATGTTTCCCAGAGATGGGTTGCACTGCGTAAAAACGTGCTGGATAAGTTGGCGGTTCATTCTGCTGTGGCAACCCTGGATTAATAAAGGGACTAGGCTGAAAAGAAAATGAATTTATATATATATATATATATATATATATATATATATATATATATATATATATATATATATATATATATATATATATATATATATATATATATATATTCCTGTGTAATCATATCTCAACCTTAGGGGCATTTCTATTCCTTTTAATGGAATTTTTAAGAAAGAAACTCAATGGTCTAGACCAATACTAGTTACTATTTTTTTCCATTGCTTTTTTCCTGCAGTCAGCTTTCTTATTCTTATTCGTTATGGTTTGAGCATGTAATGCATCATAGAAATGAAAAAGGCCCTCACACAAGGTGTAATATTAAACTAGGCATATAACAATAAAAGGCAAAACGACACATTGCTACTAGAAAATGAAGTTATTATGCCCTGATGGAAATTCTCGGTTGTGATTTTTAATGTTATAGCCCTATTCTAATAAAGTTTTTAATAGGGCCC